TGTATATGGAAATTTGTAGAAGGATGTTTAAGAAATTGTTGACAGCAGATTCCTTTCTGGATGGAGTCTGGGGGACTCAAGTTTTGAGGTGGGAGGGACATGTTTCAATATCTTTTTGTAGTATTGGAATTTTTTCTTACATTCATATTAATTTTTTTTTGCTATGAAACCTAGTTAAACATTCTTGATTGGATAAAAACACAAGGATGCTTTGAGTTGAATTTTGATATGTCTCTACCTTTGAGAGCAGGACGCAATGGGCAGCTGTATCTCCATGAGGGGAGTGGACATCTGGACAGACAGACCAGGGAAGCATGTGGAAGATCCTCTTGGGGGCAGGGAAATGAGTGTCAGAGTCCTGCTGAGGGCTCCAAATGAAATACAGAAAATTTCAGATTTCAACCTCAATGGCAACCTTCTGGGTGCACAATGTCAAAGCTCATCCAATGATGTGCAAGATTTATCTGGGTGAAACTTTTCTTTTTTAATGTGAAAAGATCAAAAGCTTTTCTGGTAGATTTGAAGATTAGACATTTAAGAGGCCATGGGACTAAGGGAGAGTCTATCTGGAAGAAGAGATTTTGCACTAAGAATGGAATAACCAGGTGTAGTTTTTAACCTAGCAATCCAATATCTGGTTTATTTATTTTTATATTTTTATTTTTTTAATTTTTGGGGGGTTATCAGGGATTGAACTCAGGGGCACCCAACCACTGAGCCACATCCCCAGCCCTACTTTGGATTTTATTTAGAGTCAGGGTCTCACTGAGTTGCTTTGCACCTCGCCATTACTGAGGCTGGCTTTGAACTTGTGATCCTCCTGCCTCAGCCTTCTAAGCTGCTGGGATTACAGGCGTGTGCCACTGTGCTTGGCAGTATTTGGTTTATTTTTTAATGCATTATAGTTATGCATAATAGTGGGGTTCATTTTGACATATTCATAAATGCCTATAACATAATTTACTCCATTTTAATCCCTAGTACCTCCTCTTTCCTCCTCTCTGCCCTCTCCCTGATCCCTTTACTCTATTGGTCTTCATTATATTTATTTATTTATTTTTTAATTGGTGCATTATAGTTATATATAAATTTGACCTTTATTCCCACAAAAAAGAACCTTCCAACAAGGGTCTTACCAAGAACATCCTTATTCATTTCAAGGACAAGAATCTGCCAGTGAGTTAATGTGCTGCTTGGAGTTTTGCAGCCAGTCCTCTCTAGAGTGTGCAAGAGATGCCCAGAGGAGAAGAGAGAAGATCTCACCTGTTCTAAGCAGATGGATGGCCCTGCCAGAAGGGGAGGCCCCAGTCCTCCCCAAGAAAGCTCTTGGCTCAGGGACAGACATGTGGCCTGCTGCTCCTAATTCAGGAATCAGAGGGTAAGGAGCCTAGGGGCTTGACATTCTTGTGGAGACGTTGAGTCCCGGCAAAAACAAACAACGGTAATTCCAGTCAGAATTATGTGCTCAGTTAACCTTGGGCCCAGATGTCTGATTAAGACACCAGGAAGAGAGAACTCAAGCATCTAGGATAGAAGTTCTTTACAAAATATTTCAGGCAAAATATAAATGGGGAAAAGGCCCGAGACGGTAAGTGGCTGAGCCCCAGATGGGAGCAGGGAGTGGGCCCGTGAAATAGGCTATAAACTGAGATTTCGTGGGAGATGGGCATGGGGGGTTGAGGGTGGGGAACTGCATCTGGCACAAGCAAAGGGAAGCCAGCTGGGATAAGGAGATCTATGACTCGGGGCAAAGGCCCTTAGAGGCCCTCTAGTTTGTCCCCTTCTGGATGGAAATGGAGTCCCAGAGAAAATGGCTTGCTCATTGTCGGATGTTAGGACTGAGCTAGCCATGGTTCAGACTCTGGCCTCCAAGTCTAGTGGGTCCCTCAGAGGAAGACTGGCCTTTGGGAAATGGAGGCATTGCTGAAGCTCTTAACCAGACAGCCACAGGCTCTCTTGCTACCTAGCAGCCATGTTTCTACTGAATTCCACAAAAATGGGAGCCGCTCAAACAACCTAGAGCAGTAACCCCAGGCGCTGTCCATCATCTACCGACAGCTTCCCCGACCTCCCCTCCTTCGCTCTGCCAGAACCCAGATTTATTATTTATTTATTTGTTTGTTTATTTATTTATTTATTTATTTATTTTTAGTGAATGGAAATACCTTAATTTCAGGAAGCATAGGCCAATTCCCCAACAGCGAGAGACAAGTCTCTATCAGTCTTACAGTATTCCAACCCTCCTTTGTCAATGATTGCTGAACGGATGGGTCTGTGACCTGGTTCGAGCCAATAAGGCACAAAGAGGAGTCTGCATGGAGCTTCTGAGGAAGGTTTTATTTTCCTAATAAAAGGAGAAAGTGCACCCTGGCACCACCAGGCTTCACTTACACCTCTCTCTTCCTGCCTTGAGGGAACTGAGATGCATACACAGTCTGAGGGTCCAGCCTGAGGGTAAAGTGAGATCTCCTGAAGATGACAGAGTGAACTATGGAGCCCAAGTTCTTGGTGGCCTAAATAAGTTGCTGGACCATCTCCCTCCTCCAGACTTCTGTTAGGTCAACATTAAATGTCGCTATGGTTTCAGCCACTGGACACGGGTTTTCTCTTATTTGCAGTCAAATGCATTTCTCAATAGCACAGGCCATAATGTTTGGGCAACTCCTATTGATTGCAAGAGACATTGCTTAGAAATAGCCTTTGCTCGACCTCCTCAGCTGTGGGTTCTGCTCTCCTGAAGCCCTCCACCCACCTCCCTTGTCAGCCCTCAGCCAGATCGTGTCTGGTAGAGTCCCTTCACACCTGGCCATCACTCATATTTTGTGACCACCTTGGATGATCTTCACTGACCAACAACTGTGTGCCCATTGAGCATACAGATCAATGACCACTTGGGTCAATCGTTCATTTATCAGTCATATTCATCATAGCCTGCTCTGGGTCAGCCAGAGTTCCTGGCTCTAGACCCAGCGAGAGTTAAAGTCCTCAGTCTTGTGGGCCAGGCCAGTCAACAGTGATGGTGGCAGAGCAGTGAGATGGGTAGATAAGAAGGAAGCAATCATTTGACTTTGGGGTATGTGTGTGTGTGTGTGTGTGTGTGTGTGTGTGTGTGTGTGTTGGTGGCGGGGGAGGTAGCCATTTCTACAACACTCTTCCCAGTCAAATACTTGATGTCTTAGGGCAGGGATTGGCTCTTATTTAGCACAGTCCTGAGCCCATCTCAGAAGAGGCAATAAAAAAAGGACTCATGTTTGGTGATCTTCCCTGGACAAGCAGAGGTTTAAGATGGACTTGCTCTTGGTTACTCACCTTTCTCTACAAGACCTAGAAAGCCAAAGCCCTTAATGACTAGCGGGATGAACAGTGGGCACAGAGCCGAAAGATCTTTGCTGTAACCGTAACTGCCACTAATTTGATGCGTGACTTAAGACATATCACTTTGGCCCCTCTGAGCCTTGGTTTTCCTCAGTGACAAACAAGGATAATAACAACTGCATGTCTCACAGGGTTGCTGCAAAGATCAACTAAGATAACTAGTGGATTCACCAGGTACAGGAGAGAGACAGCGAGGCAGTGTCCATTCATCCACCTCCCCCATCCCCATCACACAGCAGAAAACCAGAGACCAGTCATCACAGTGGAACTTTCCATGGGAGATAGAGCATTTAACGAGGGTAAGACCTTGACAATGTGGTCAGGAATCATCCCTCCCAAGGAACCTAGACACACATTTGGTCCTTTGATGGGGTTTCCTTAGGTTTTTATACATTTGCCTGCCCTGGAAAATGCCATCCAGGGACCTCATCTATCTGCCCCTGCCCCTCTTCAGGGCAATAAAAGAAGGAAAGAAAATGGAATTGAGGAACGAGAGGTGGTTACCTCTCCTGTCTCCCTCATGGGCTTCTGAGAGTTCTCATGGCCAGTCTGGAGTCATTGCCCAGTAACTTCAGGAAGATTCACTCAAGGGCAGGAGTATGTACTCAGGGACCTCCAAGCCCTGATCATTTTCAATGGTGCTCTGTTGCTGTCAGGCTGGGCTGCAATGGCCAGTCAACAAAGAGGAGGCTTTCCAGAGTACCTCAGACTTTAGCATGACTAACTCTGAGGTGACCCAGCTATTGGAAATTAACTGTGGTGTCCACTCTGGGTCTGCAGTTGAGGGATGACCTAGATACCCCACTGGAGTCCACAAAGAGCCATCGCTACCATACTTGGAGTGTGACCCCAGCTGTGTGGGGTGGCAGAAAAAGTATTTCCCAGAAAAGCCAAACTGACTTGCCTGGGAGAAAAGGTGGGGACCCTGAGGCCCCCACAAGAGGATTTAAGCAGCTTCAGGCCCAGACAACAAAGGGACCCAGAAGTTGAAGGAGGCTCACTGGAGAGCTGGGGTACAAATGGTTAGTCAAAATGGAACAAGGTAAGGAAGGGAACAGGTCGGCCAGGAGTGAGCTGCAGGAGGGGAAGCAGGCATCATCCTGAAGTTTTGGCACCTCAAATTGTTCATCCTTTGGTGGTGATGCCATGCAAGAGTCTGAAAGTCCCCAGGGAGGTGCTGACTCTCACTGTCACTCCAGCAGTGGGAGGCCACCCAAGACCACACACTCTGTCCTGGTTGGATGGTGCCCTTTAGAGTGACAGGGATGATCTGAGGCAGCTGAAAGAGGCGCAGGCACTGGCAGGTTATTTTCTCAGCTCCCATCCTGGAGATCTATCTGATCCCCAGGTGGACTACTTGGGACTAAGCAGGTGAGAACCAGAACCCAGCATGGGGCCTGCACGGTGGCCACTAGAGGGCGCATGACATAGGAGCCTGCATCCTAGTCTCTCTGTAGCCTACCTAACTCAGAGAGATGATGACAAGCCCAGAGAAAGATGAGCCCTGAGCCTGTGGAGGGGCTCCGCTCACTTCAGAGCCTACCCACCAGTTGCCCATCACCATCTCTGAATCCGGGTCTGAAGGAAGAGGTGGCTGGTTGGCTGGGTCTTGCAGGGGTGTGGGAATCTCTGGGTCACTTTGGGGTACGATCCCCAAAGCTCTGTGCAAGGCATGCCAGAAGCTTTGTAATCCTCAGGAGGGAAGGGACTGTGGGCTTGGTCTGGTGGCTCTTCCTAAGTCTCCATATGTGTCACATTAGCCCAGTCAGGGAAATGATCCAAGTCAAATAGGGCCCGTCCCCAGGTGTTGACCGCCAAAAACACACACAAGATTCCAATCAAGTTCATCATTAGTCCTGTTTTCACCTGGAAGAAAATAAAAACAGGGTCAGAGTCAGCCCCTTCAGGTCTGCCTGTGGTCAGGACAGAGCGAACAGGACTCTGGGAACCAGTCCTCTTGGAGAGGTGTTTGCTAGGCCTCAACGTCCCTGAGTCATGTTCTGAGCTCCCCCCTGCCCCAAACAAAGCAACATCATGTCCACTAAGTGTCATCAAATGCTCACAGTGTCCTTGGGAGGGATGCCAAGACAGATGGGTTCTCTATGTCCAAGTGGGCATTGGAAAATGGCCTCAGGGAGGTGATATGAGGCAACAGCCACTAAGGGAGAGTGTGGCAGAGCCTGGGGTGTGACTCTAGGTTCAGTGGTCACCCCAGTGCCTTAACTGCCCCACAAAATGCTGGCTTCCCTGTGGCCCTCCTCTAGCTCTTTCCAATGCTGTCTCTGTGTTCTTTTCTACCATTGTTTGAATGTCCTGTTGTAGACTTTTTACAGGGGACTGGAATCAGGTTTGCAATCCATGGTTTCAGGGATCGACCTTCTTTGTAAAAAATGCTCCATGAAGTCCCAAAGATACCCAATGGAGGCTCCACATTAACTAAAAACTGACTGGTCCCACATAGGGACCTTTGCTTCTGGTTTCCTTGGTTCACCCACTTGCCCATCCTTCATCCAGAGTTGTGCAAAGCTGCCCTTCCCCCATCAGAGGCGATGAGAGTTCTTCCTGTGACAGCGTTTGCTTCCAATCCGTAGTCTCTCATTCCTCCTACCCCTCACTTCTTCTACCTCTTCAGACACCTCTACACCTCTACATTAGCATTTCCCCCAATATAAGCCTTGCACCTCCCCAACTTTCCTCAGGGATCTTGCTGGCCTGTGAAGTCCACCCTTGGCCAAGTGAGTCCCCCACCTCTTCCAAGTGCTCAGCCGGGGCCCCCTGGTGCCTACACAAGCTTCTCTCAGTGGGAGATTCTATTACCCACCTTGGGGACAGAACAGCCTATGAAGTTTGAGATCATTTCAAAAAAGAAAAGTTGTATTATAAACACCAATGACGACTATAGATTGGGACATTCTGTGGTATTTCCAAATCACATATCATCCTTTGGAAACTCACACGCCATTCATCATATATATCAATAGCATCATAAAAGTAAACAGAAGCGGCTGTGTTACCATGTCAGAAACCTTGAGGTGTCCATAGGCAAACACGATGGCATTAGGCGGGGTGGCCACGGGCAACATGAAGGCAAATGACGCACTCAGGGTGCAGGGGAGCATGACGTACAGTGGGTGGAGGCCGATGGAACGAGACTGGGGAGAAACAGCACAGAAGCTCACAGCACAGAACATAAAAGCTCCTGGGCCCTCATTCTAAAAAAGCATTCCCTGCAGGCACCGGGTTAAGTTCCAACTTCCAAGCCTTTGTCTTGCTGGTTGCTCTGGGTTTTGCCACTTCTCTGGCCAATGACACTATTGAACACTGAAGGCTGAGCTCAAAGGTCCCCACCCCCCAGAAGTCTGTCTGAGTCTCCACGATTCATTCACCATTTATGCCTTTGACCTCTGCTATGTGCCAGAGACCATGCTGGACCTCTGGATTGCACTGAATCTCACAATGCCATGTGGACATCTCTTTCTGTCCTGTCACAAACTGAAAAAACATACAAGGAAGGGACTGGGTCTCCTCATCTATGGATGTATGTGTTTTTATACACAGTTGTGATCATTTTATGTCTGCAATTTGCTATTCACTTCTTTCATTCTACATTTTAAAATTCAGCTACTCTAAAAACACAGGAGGAGACACTCATTAAGTATCTGATGAAGAATGAATGATATAATTGTAATATCGGTTAAAATGAACCTTTATCATGCATGTGAGGGTAAATACATAGGCAAAGATGTTCACTGCAACATTGTAACAGAAAAACATAGAAAACAGACTCCATGGCCATCAGTAGCAAGATGATTAAATAAAATACAGTATACACAAAAGATGGAATAATATGCAGATATAAAGATGGTTTAATGTGCTAATATGGAAAGATATCCAAGACCTATAGTTAGATTCAAAAGAGAAAATAAAATAAAGTCTATAACATGTCCATAGAATGGTCCCATTTCTTTGAAAAGAGTGTGTATTCCTGGTGCAGTGATGCACACTTTTTATCCCAGCAACCTTGGGAGGTTGAGGCAGGAGGATCTCAAGTTTAAAACCAACCTCAGCCACTTAGTGAGACCCTATCTCATAATAAAATTTTTAAAATTTTTTTTAAAGGGCTGGAAATGTGGCTCAGTGGTTAAGGTCCCCTGGATTCAATACCTGGTACTCCTACCCTCCCCAAAAAGATAAAAAAGAGTGTCTGTATGTTTGTATGTGTGTACTATACATATGTATAATATATTCAGAAAAATGTCTAAGAAATTAAGACACCTTGTCTCTAGGAAAGAGGCTAGAAGATTAGAGTCTGTATACTTTTCTATATCAATTTTGCAATTTTTAGCCCCATGTATATATTACATTTCAACTTGAAACAATCAAAGCATAATCATGTTCCCAGTTTATTAAATATCCTTCAAAACTGATTGTTAGTGGCTTGATAGTATTAAATGATACAAACATGTGGTCATTTATTTCACCAACCCCCTATTATTATGAATATATTTTATAACAAATAATTCGGTGCCACATATTGTTACAATGATGTACTTACAGGCAACTCTGATTATTTTCCTAGGACCTAGTTCCAGATGGGAAATTGCCCAGACAAAGGGTCTGAGCAGGATTAAGGTTACAACTCCCATTGGTTAACAGTCCTCTGAAAAGGCTGTGTACCCTTTGAGAATTGTTGAGAGGTCCCAGATAGGGCCAGGCTGTGTCCTCGTCCCCCTCTACATCTTCATTTCCCTTGGCTTTGTGTAGCACATGGTGTTTGCAGCCCTCATTCCTCGATAACGCAGCTGGATGACCACCACCTTTCCCTTTCCCACATGGGCGCCCAGGCAGGGGCATAAGGGGCCTTAGAGGTAGCTCTGGGACACCTAATTCAGGGTTTCTGGTTCTAGACAAGCTTGTTTCCAAAGGGTCTGGCCACCCTCTTGGGTTAAGGCCTGCATTTGTCTGTCTAGGGCCATTGGTGCTCACAGCAAGGGCTGGAGATGTCAAAGCCAAGGCCTTTCTCGGGGAAAGGAGGCACCCCCAACACACGCCCATCAGAAAAAGGCTCTGCACCACACCATCTCCCTCCTTCTCCACCTCTTCCTCTTTGGCATCTGCTTGGCAGCCTGCTTAGGGGGAGAAGAGAGGCCACCTTGCTATTTTTAACACTTTCATCTTCACTTGGAATGGAAGGAAAAAACCACTTAGGTTTGCTTTTTTATGCACATGGACGCCCAGGCAGCTGGATGGAAATTTACCAACTTCAATGGTCTGTTTGGGCCTTTTGTGAGTCTGTCTCCTGGCTCCAGAATAACTACAGCATCTCCCACGCTCCTTCTGCAGTCTACAGAGGCTTTTCATAGCCCCATCTGACAGACACCCAGCACAACTCTAGGAGGAAAGATCTTAAGGGATGTGTTGGGGGAACTCAGGTCTTTTGGCTCCAAGCCCAGGGCTCTTCCCATACCACCCCCGAGGGCAGTACTGCTTTGCAATGAAGGACAAAAGAAATGTGAGAAGTGATGAGAGCTGACTTTTCTATTAATTCTGTTTTCATCTCAATTCCAGTTCAAAATCATTCCTGCCCATGAACAGAATGCTCCACCTGGCACTCAGGAGGCCCCTTTTCCACCACCAACGACCTCTCTGGCTCAGCTCACATGGACCTCTCATCCCTGAGCTCTCTAAGCAAAGCTGTGGGGAGTCCTCAGTCCTGCCATACCTCTCCTTCAGAGGCTGCTTCATCTTCCTAGAATGTCCTCTCCCTTCTACTCATCCCCAAGCCGTTCATTCTCTAAGGTCTCTTCCTGGGGAGTCCCAGTCAATAGTATTCCCAGGGGTGCTCTGCAGTCCTCCTGCACACCTTCGTGACATACTCAGCAACCACACCACTGGCCCCTCCTCCTGGGCACAAGTCCTGTCTCCCCAGCTCGAAAAACAATCCAGTGAGATTTATAAAGTTCAATGCTGGGTGCAGTGTGACACTCCAGCTACTCAGGAAGCTGAGACAGGAGAATTGCAAGTTTCAGATCAACCTCAGCAACTAAGCAAGTCCATGGCCCAAAATACAAACAAAAAAAAAGGACTGGGGATGTAGCTCAGTGTACAGCACTTGCCTGGCATGTGCAAGGCCTAGGTTCAACCCCCAGCACCTCTGAAAAAAAAAAAAAAAAGAAGAAGGAAAAAAAAAAGTCCATATTTGGTGCTTTGACCAACAGACAAAATACGAAGAGGAAATAGGAAAACAGTGAGGGCCTCAGGACCAGGGTCGTCAAGGGCACACAAGTCTAGGTCAGAACCAGGGCCAGATCCAGGTCTCTGAGCCTGGTCAAGCTCTGGTGCCTGATTTTACCACCTGTCTAGGGCCCCAGAATATCATCATGGGTTGACAGCTTCCTGTGAAATGACATACCACCCTCTCCACCCGCACTGGCGTGGCTACTTACCATGGAGGCAAAGATGGGCAGGAACAGGGTGGTGGTGGCCACGTTGCTTGTACACTCCGTGGACACAGCAACAAGCAAGGATAAGATCAAGGTGATGGCTGCAGGAGGCACTGTTTGCAAGGGCTCCATCTGCTTCCCCATCCACTCGGAGAGTCCTGAGGCCTGGGAAGCAGCAGGAGGCCAGTGACTTCAGGGCTTCTGGCTTTACAGTTATCTCCAGGGCCAGGGTTTGGCCATTCTCTACCTCTAATCCCTCACACACATCGCTTAAGTGATCTCATTCACCCCCACTTCATCCTCACTCTGCAATCTCCTGAATCTTTATTTTCTTTTCAGCTGGTCTACTATCTGCATTTAACATCTATATGCCTTCAAGATATTCGCACCCAGGTGTCCTGTGAGCACTATGCTCAACATGCTCCAACCTGAACCTCTTTAGCTCAGAATCCACTTCTCCCTCTGGACTCACCATCTGCTGCTGTCCAACGAGAGGTCTGGGAGTCACACAGACGGGTCTCTGTCCCCTTCCTCCTTGCACCCAGTCACCACATCACCCAAAACATTTCACTCACATCCATTCTCCTCTCAGTCTCCCACAGTTCTTAGAGACCAGGAGAATGATTTAGGCCAGAAATTTGGATGTAAATTTAGAACTTTGGGATGAGAAGGGATTGACCAGGCAGAGAATGAAAAGTAAACAGATCAGAGATACAGGCCAGAGCCTGGGAAAGCAATCATAATTCAGGGAGAACGGAGGAGAAATCAGTCAGCAAAGGAGGCTGAGCAGGAACAGTCAGAAGAAAATCAGGCCAAAGTGGGGGAAGGTGTGAAGGAGAGAATGACCTAAGAGTCCACGTTCTCAGATTGAGTTAGGTGAACACTATAGGGCATCTGCTTGTCCTGCCCCAACTCCCGCCTGCCCCAAGTCTCCATTTCGAACATCAGAAAGATTTTTCTCAAATGCACATGAGGCCAAGTCACTCCCCTGGCCTCTCCTCTTCAGTGGAACGTCCACTAACTCCACACATGCTATTCTGAATTCAAGACCCCAGGACAAAGGCTTCTCCACCCTCATGTGCTCTTGAGCCAGATATCTTGTGTTTTTCCCTTGCTCCTGAGTCACTTCCTCCTGAAATGTCCTTCCAGGTAAACCCCCCTGCTTCGGCTATGAAGTGTTAAAAACAGGGACCATGTCTCAGTCTCCTCCATAATGCCTGTACCTAACCTAACACTAGGGGGATGAAATGGTAATGTTTGAGGAATGTAAAAATGATAGATGGAGAAATGAACAGGTAGGTGGATGAATGGTGGAAAGGCGACTTGATGGATGGATTTGCTCATCCCAAAACTATTTATTGGGCTGGGGATGTAGCTCAGTGGCACAGCACTTGCCTAGAAGGCATGGGGCCCTGGGTTTGGTCATATATGTATATTTAACAATATACATATATATCAATATCTGTGTGTGTGTGTGTGTGTGTGTATCCACTACACACCAGATTCTATCCTAGATGTTGAAGAAACAGAAAATACAAGATAGACCAAGCCTATCTATTATCTTCCATTCCTGGATAGATGGAAAGAAAGAAGGAAGGGAGGAAGGAAGGGAGGGGGGCAGAATAGCAGCACTGAGCTCGTTCATCCCTCCCTCTGTCTCATGTCTTCCCCAAGGGGTAAGAAAGAAGGTAGAGAACGGTACCTTTGGGGTATTTTTCCCTTAAAAGCTGTTCCTCTCCCCTATGTTGTTAAATACTTAGCTAGAGAAAAAAAATTGAAATTTTGAAACCATGGGCAATGAGAGAATCAGCATATAGAAGAACCAAAGAAAATGCTGAAAATATTCATGAAGACTTGAAGGAAAGATTTCCCTAAGATAATCAAAGCAGAGATTATTATTACCAGACCCCAAAGTGGGCCCAGCAGTGTATCCTTGACCTCTGTGTGAGTGTGTGAAAACTGAGGTCACTTATCCACTCATTTCTGTAGTCACTCAAGAGGGGTTCCTCCCTTCTAGGCACTGTCTGTGGTACAGGGTTCTCAGATGACAAGAGAGAGTTCTTGCCCTCACAGCATGTGCAGTTTTGTGGAGGAGACAGAAATACAGCAGCCCAGGGATGGAGGAGTGGAGGAATGTGGCACCTCTGGCCTCCCTCCTGGTAGGAATCTGAGGGCCCCAGGCAGTGATGGCTGATGAAGTTACCTCACATCCTTTAGCCAGAGCAAATCCGCCCCCCAGTAGCAGCACGATGCCCCATGGCACCTTCTCCTGCGTCACCTTCCAATCCAACAGTGCCGGGGGATAAAATGGAGTTTCCCTTTCTGAGAAGAAAAAGCAAACACACACACACACACACACACACACACACACACACACACAAGAACAGTGTTAGAAGACAAAAAAGAGTCATAATCAAAGGAGAATAAAGGCAAAAAGATTAATGCGATACCAGCTTATATCTGTAAATTAGCTAAAATTTACAATAATACTTGTAACCATTGCTGGTGAGGGTTTGGTAAGATTGTTCCGTGCTGGCATTTTAAAATGGAACAAGCTTTTCGAAAAGAAAAAAAAATTGGCCCCACATTTTAAAAGCCATTAAGACATTTATGTTCTTTTAACTCAGAAATATCATGGCTAGAAATTTATCCTAAAGAAAAACACCCCCAAATGAAAAGCTATGCACAAGAAAACATCAATTTATACTAACAAAAAATTCAAAGTGGCCAAGATGGAGAATGGGCACTGCCCCCTCCAGGCGATAGGATGCTTTCATTAAACAGAGTGAATCTGGAGACCGTGGTAATAGTGAGAAATGTTTCTAGTATAGTACCAAATTAAGACAAAATCCTAAACAACAAAGAAATAATTGCATGTCTTTTTATTATAACTACATAACTTATATTAACAAAGACAGGCAGGAAGAGATGAAAAAATACTGGTGGCATTAAGGGAAATCCAAAACACTTTTTGTCCCTGTGTGATATAAATAAGATTTTAAATATTTAAAAAGCACAAAAAGAAAAGATTTTGTGCCAGGCATGGTGACACACGCCTGTAATCCCAGCGGCTCAGGATGCTGAAGCAGGAGGATTGAGAGTTTAAAGCCAGCTTAGCGAGGCCCTAAGCAACTAAGCAAGACCCTGAGCTGGGGATGCGGCTCAGTGGTTACGCACCCCTGGGTTCAACCCCTGGTACAAAAGAAAAAAAAAAGAAAAAGAAAAGATTTTGCTCTAAATAATAATTGGCTTGAAAATCTCATCTCCCTAAGCTTTTCTAACATGATTGGTGGAACAAGATTTTTCTCTCCACTAGGCCCAGGGCCTATCTTATGATAATCGTTTGCTGCCAGGTCCCCGATCCTGATGAACTGGGAGGTCAGGACAGAGAGGCCTTACCTTCCTCTGTCTGGCTGCAGAAGTTGAACTTGGGCTTCTGTGAAGGCACAATGAAAAGCAAGATGGCCACAAAGATGGCCACAGTGGCATCAGAGATGTACCTAGGGGGGAAAGAGGACAAAGGGGTTTAGCCCAGCTCGACTGCTGCAGTGACAGTCAACCAAGAAACATGTTCTAACTCTGTCAGTTCTGTGTCTAAATCCTCCTATATGAAGAAATAAGCTCAACTGGGTGTGAAAACTGAAGTTCCCAAAGCCAAGGTCAAGGTGGTGTAGAAGACTATGTTCTGGCTAAAAACAAGATGCTCACATTCTTGGGCACATAATTTGGATGAGTTTCAGCATCCCACTTCCCTCTTTTAGCCTGCACTGCTGCATGGGTGGACTTCTGTACCAGGTTCTTTAGAATTGCATGTTCACCAGGGTGACCACAAGGTCTTTTTGGAATACCCAAGCAGATCAAAATGGAATATCCAGTTTCAGGCAGTCATCTCTCTGCCCATATCTCCTGCCTTTCCTAGGATTTACAAGTTTCTCAACCTTCCCTCCCATGGCAATATCGGAGCCAGGAAAGACTCTACATATTCCTGCTTTGCTCTAGGAGACCTACTCCTAGCCCAAGAAACTCTCAGGCCCCTCTGCCTGACCATGCATTTTCTGCTCAGTTCATTGCAGGAGAGGATGCTGAAGAAACAAACACATCTGCATTTTCATCATGAAGATCCATCAGAATAAAATGAGTCATAAAACCCACCATTCCAGAACCAAGAGCCCAACCCTGGACCTTCCTCTGGCCACCTATGATGGAGAATAACAGCATTTTGGTTCTGATGTACTAAGCCAGGGGCTTTGGCCAAACGAACAACTTACTTTTTCTCACCCTCCATCCAGGCAAGCGACAGCCAGCCGGGCATGAAGCCGGGGTCCCGGGAGAACCACAAGATGATGAGCAGGAGGAAGCAGATCAGGACATTGGTCTCCGCGAAGGAGAAAGGCCCCAGCTTCTGGTATTCCTCCCGCAGCACCTTGTAGGCGGCCTTCTCCTTAGTCTTCTCTACCCCACAGCTGCAGGAATTTTTAAAGCTAGAGAATACAAAGATGAGCGTGAACGCTGCGCAGCAGAATATGGCAGAAGGACACATGGTGGGGCAAGCCCTTCCTCCCTCTTTCTACACTTTCATCTGCCTCCCCAGCTTCCCAGGATGTTATGGGGAAAGTCTGTGGAGAGATAAAGGGCTGAGTTCCCCAGGGCATGCCCCAGGGGCACCTCCAGAGCTAGGGTGTGTTCCTAGAGGAAGCCTGAGATGGCACCAATGAGGATACAGGTCTTAGGGACAGTGGAGGCAGGAAAGGAGAGAATGGCCAGAAGGATGAGAGGCAGAGCAGAACCAGGAGAGTGGACAGGAGAATACACACAGAAACAAGCAGAGCTCAGGCTGTCACTAGCAAAGATGCCTGGTCCCCTGGAGACTGCTCCAGGGTCACCAGTGAAGAAGGCCAGGAAAAGTTCTGGAGCCTGCCCAGAGTGGGGGCAGGGTTCCCTCACATGCTTCCCAAGCCCTCCTACTCTCACCACAGCCCTTGACAGTCCTGAAATGACAGACTCCATCACCAAGGTGCTCAGGAGGGGACAGGGAGCAAGGAAGGATCCCAGCAGACTGGGCCGGGAGGGGACAGGAGTTGAAGGTGTGGGATTACGGATCTAGGAGACCCTGGAGTTAGCAGCTAACTCTTGCTGGAGCAGGAAAGAAATCATCCTGGACTGTTACTGGCTAGCACGTTGGTAGAAGGGCCCTGCCAGGCTGCCCTGCAGAATCTCTTGCGGGTGGTGTTGGCATGGAGGTGCAGGAAGGAGGAAGGATTTGTGGAGGAGGTATAGAGGGTCATTCAGCCGCAGGGAAGGGGTAACTGGGGCCACTGGTGCACTAGCTGCAGGCCCTGAGATACTCTTTGAGGGTTCCATTCACCCATTCCTACCACTGTCGGTCTGAAGGGAGTAGAGAATGCCAAGAGCATTATCCCTGGAGAGCCTTCTCCATGACAGTCCTCCTGGGGCCTAAGACAAGATTCATAGAAGGGCTGGGGTTGCTGGAATAGATGCTGATTCCCAAATCCACTGCTGGATGTGAACCACCTTTGAGATCATGAGAGTCATGCTGGCAATGGTGGCACGGCCTGCAGCACAGGGACACTAGGACATCAGGTCATGGCCTCCTGGGGTACTCAGAGGTAGGAAAATGGGCAGTAGTTGGACTCTCATGTCTGCAGTCAGCTGGGATCTCCTTGCTGGACATGGGGCAAAGTCCCAGGTCATGAGATCATTAGGAGTGGGGATGACATAGGAGGGGACCTTCATTGGCTCCATAGAGTCCATGTTCTTCCAAGCATTGGCCTGCTGCCATCTGTCATCCTAGTGACTTTGGAGCTGTGCCAGGAGCCTCAGGTTTCCAGAATAAGGAGTGACCTTGGTATTCCTAGCGGTCCAACAATAAGGAACAATAAGGACAGGCCGTAAGGAGCTGAGCCCATTTAGTTCTGGTAACACATTCCCAACAACACAGTGGCTACAGACTCTGGGGCCGCATCAAATATGCAAATATGACCCTGGTCCCCCATACTGGTGCCACAAGCCTTCCGACCCTCGTATGTTAAGCAATTTAGCTAATGGGTTAACTTCATCAGGTGACTGCTGAGCTGGCATGAGAGGCAGGTACATGGTTCAGTTGGCCTGCGGGAGCCCAGGGATTGGAGTGGTGACCACAGCATCCTGTAGCAGAACGGCCTTCACTATGATGAGTCGTGGTAGACGTGGACTGACTATGCTGCAGAGCCAAAGAGAGGGCACAAGATCTTTGAGCCCCCATATGCCTCTATACGGCAGGGGTTGGGAAGAGCACTCATCCCCTTTTTAGCCTGGTTGGAACAGTTGGGTGCCAGCCAGCAGTAATATCCCAAGTCTTGGCAGTCCTGAGTGAGGGTCTGTAGCCCCATTGGAAGAATATAGCCAGAAAGCTGCCCATAAATTCAGCAAGACAGTTTTTCTGGATTAGGCTAGAGGATGAGATCTTGACGTTGTTCTCCACAGCCATGCAAATGAGAAACTCGAGTGAGAGTGAAGCTTGCTAGACTGTAGAGGTGGTTCCTGTGGCGAAGACATGCACTCCTCATCCTTAGGTGATATGGTCCCAGAGGCCAAGGAGGCAGAGGGGGATCTCCGGGTCCTGGTTTGCACCAGAATATGACCTGTTCCCACCATTCCAGCCAAGTGGAAAATGCTGTCCTCCACCTTCAGGATCTGGAACTGAAACTAGTTGACCTGTGATCCACCCTCTGCTCTGTGTCCAAGCTAGAGTAGCACGTAGGGGAGGGATGGAATCAGATGGCTGCCCAGCTCCTCCACCACCACCAGGCTCCCAAAGTCCCCATGCTACATGGCAGCTGCTCTCCAGGCTCCCTGATGACCCAGAAGAGCTGAGGGAGGCTGCACCAGGCTGGGTGAACTGCAGCAGCAGGTTCCTGGCTGAGTTCCTGAGGTGCCTGGTATCCACCTCAGCTGCTGAATGAGAGGCTGACTGTGTTCCTGTGGTCTTGATTACCAGGTCAGTTCCTTCTTCTTACTTGGCCCTTGAGCTTTAGGGACGCCCCCAGACCACTACTAGTGCTCTTGACACCCAGTCATGCTTGGCTTGATGGCAGTTCAGCACAGCAACCTTTGACCTCCCCAGGAGGGGATGGATGTAGGGTTGTAGGTCAAGGGCACAGACTCTGGAGCCAAACTGCCAGGGTTCCAATTTCAGGCCATCTACTTCCATGCCACACAAACTTGCATAGGCCATTTAACCTCTGCAGACCTCAGTTACCTCATCTGCAAATTGGCAATAATAATTATAATAACATTTGCTTCACAGATTGTTGTAAAGATTAAACAAATTCATAAATGTAGAGCATTTAAATGGGGCACATAATAGGCACTGGATAAAACATTAGTCATTGATATTTCTATTGCCCCATGAATGGACACAGGTGCCCCCTGCGGAAGGTCCTGGGGACTGTCTGCTGATAGGCCTCCCTGGTTGATATGAGCAAACCAGCTGGACTTTAGTCCTTGCACAGTTTCAGAAAGAAGAGCAAAGAAAGCTGCTGTCAAAGTCAAGTTGTGCAGCAGGTGATCATGGAAGCGTGTCCCTTTCCCAGAGAGTGGGGGACTGGACCCCAGGAAGGGTGGGTAGAATGGAGCCCTGCCTACTATTATGATCATTAAAGTGACTGTTTTGAACATGTGTAGCAAATTTTAAATGGCAGCTTCCAAACAGGTCCTCCTTCAGAAGAAAACGAAGAAAAACACCTGTTTCCCCCATTAAGTTACAGGCTTGAGTAGGCACTTCTGTACCTTTACTCTGAGTCCCTTCCCTCCGGTCCTATAGGGTCCTGCGTCTCACTTGACTCAAGCTCCCTGTGAAGTAGGACACAGCACACACACTTAGCTCCTAGCTGAGTACTTTCATCCCAGAGTGGCATGATCACCTTTTGCCACAGATACATTTGTGTCTTTTAAAATAACAACAACTTTTTTTTTTTTTTTAGGTATTTGTCAGCTGCACGTCACGGTTTCTGTCCAAAGTCTGGCCCTGGTGAAGGTTGACTCCAGGTGAACTTGACAGTTGCTGGGAAGAGGAAGGTAAACTTTCCAGGATGAGCAATCTGTTGGGAACATCGTAGGCCTCTGGTAAAGGTCTGGGTTTGGATTGATTTAGATGATATCAGGAGGGTTTTTGTTTTTTTTTTGTTGTTGTTGTTGTTGTTTTGTTTTTTGTTTGTGACCTGGTCTAATGGAGCCAGGTGGCCAAGTGAAAGTTTGTTCACATGGGTCAAATTTCTGCTTTAGCCCAAGTTGATGGCATACTTGCTCTTTCTCCCTGGGCCAGGAGCTATGCTGGGTGCCGGGGTCAGAGAGGCCCTGGAAGAGTTCACGGTCAAGGGTAAGAAGCAGCACTGAAACACAGACAGGTAGCAAGGGATAGGGCTGAGATATGCCCCAGGGCATCTCCGAGGAGGGAGGGAGCAAGTGTTCTTCTGAGATGGAATGGAGGTGAGGGGAAGCCAGGGAAGGAGTAGCCAGGGAAGTAGCACTTGAACTGGCCTTGGAGGCTGAGGAGGTAAGCAACTGGGAAAGCAGGAAATGGCTTTCCAGACAGAGGGAACAATGTGCGCAAAGCCACATTGAGCAATCAGGGATGGTGGGAATGGGAGGGCAGCCTAGCTAGAGAGAGAGCTGCAGAAACAGGGCCAGAACTGAAGAACATTTCTGCAGGGATGTGGTGGCACAATTGGATGGCATCTTGTGAGCAGCTCTGACTTACCTGAATCTCAGATAAATGCACTGCAACCACAACCAGGAAAGCAGCAACATTATCAGCATGTTGGGGAAGGCAAATCCAAACCAAGAGGCAAAGTTCAAGAGGTCCTTACTCCCAGGAAACAATCTGAAAGGAGAGATACTGGCCTACACCTCAACCCAGGCTGAGCTGTGCAGAGCAAGCCAGCAATGAGCAGAGGCTGAGCAGTAGCTGGATCCTGAGAGATGGGTAGGATTCAGGGCCACATCCTCCTGAGGTCTAGCCATCCAAGTTCATTGTCTTGTAACACTATGCTCTGATCAAGTAAGGAGGCCAGAGCACAAGACAAGGTTGAAGAATGACCAACAAACGTTTCCTATGGATCCCAACCCTGCTAGGCATCTCATCAAGTTATGGCTCCATCCCTTAAGATAAGCACACTTTTGCAAACATATGCATGTAATTTGATTGACAGCTTCAGGGGTCTGTGTATGCCTGTAACCCCCTCACCCTGTAGGTTTCTAAGCAATCTCAAAAATATTTCCCAGGGTGGGACAAAAAAGATGTTCCTTAGGCCCGCCTCCCAACCCAAGCCAGTACTAGTAGTCCCAAGGCCCCCGGTAGCCCAAGATTGTCAAAGCAGACCCAGATTTTTTTCCCACTCAGCCCAGACAGGCTGTTTTTCCCAGAGGAATTGCAGGGAGAAGCCTAAGGATATAGTTAGAGAAAACCCTCCCAGGATTAAAAACACTCTGGCTGTTGAACCTCAGTATCTGCCCTGAGGACTGCTGTCCTGTCTTTTCTGTCTCCCAACTCCTGTGCCAGCAGTTTTCCCTGCCCCTGACCATGGCTCTTGTCTGCATTTATTTTTTATTCCAACACCTGCCAATTATCCATACCTCAATTAACGTGTTTATTTACCAGACCCACCTGTAGCTCCTTGGCATCTGGCACCCTCAGCAGACCATGAGAGCCCCAGACAGGGCCCAGGCTTCTCTCACTTCAGTAATCCCAGCCCCACCCAGCACAAGGCTGGGCACAGATAGGGAATCCTCATGGCCTGTGTCCCTTTCTGGCCAAGGCTAGAAAGTTCCAAACTACCCTTGTGGTCCACCTGGAGCCTCACAGGGAATATGTCACCTCCAGGACAATGAGTGAGACGTAAGGTTAAAAAATGACCCAACTCCAACCCTTCATACCATCTGTAGAACCTCCATATCTTGGGACCATTGCCATTAACCCCCATGTTAGTGAGTCAAGGGAGTGGGGGAGACTCTTTTAGAGATGCCTAATTCCTGCAAATTTTAACTCAGGTATCTGTGACTACATTGTCATCTCCCATGACTTGAGCTGAGAATTCAATTCACAGTCCCTGTCTGAGCTGGGATTTCTGAGCCCAGGAAAGAAAGATGGAACTCACTCCAAGAGAGAAAGCAACCCTGCCCACCATTAACTCCTTTGGCAACAGGTTCCCATGACCTCTGAGTGTTTCTGAGTGGTTGCAGGCTGGATGGGACACATCTTCCTACTGGCCTCCCAGCCCCAGGGCCCAGCTGAGGAGGGAGAGGTGAGTAGGGGTCTCTCCAGCCCCAGGGCCCACTTTGTTTTCTCTGAAATTGTGGCCAATGACTCACTCTTGCATCTGGCCCAGAAGCACCACATTGGGTCCGGTCCCAGTCAGGGTGGCCGTGCCCCCAATGCTGGCTGCGTAGCACACACACAGGTTCATGGCCTTGCACATGCTTTTCTTGTATTGGTCCTCCTGCTTCTCCATGGCAGATCCATCAAAAATACCTTGGTTTCCTGTGGTGAGCACAGCACTGTTAGCTGAGCCAGTCACTGGGGTCTACCCAGCCAACCTCAGATCCTGACTCTGCTCCTAACCTGAGGAAGGGGACATCCCCCACCCCCTGGCAGGTCCCTCCACATGAATTCCTCAGCTTCCGAACTAAAGTCATGGTCAGGTCCCATCTGCCTTCCCACAGTCATTTCCCAAGACTTCCCTAAGTCTTCTCCATGCTCCTGTCAAATCCAGCAATTTTTTTTTTTTTTTCCAGTTCTGGGGATTGAACTCAAGGCCTCATTCATGCTGGGCAAGCACTCTACCACTGAACCACACTCTCAGCCCCCAAATCAGCAACTTGAGACGCATATCCCTCTTCTCTGGTTCTTTGCTGTTCTTTGCTCGAGATGCTCCCTGCATCTAGTGGGTATGTAAATCTATCTATCTCCAGTGTCTCTCCTCCCAACAAGGCTTCTCCTTTTTTTCTGAGCTCCCTCAGCATCTGGTTTATGGCTTGTCCATGGCTTCCTCCAAGTCAGATGATTTGTTTGTGGGACCCACTGATGCCATCCCACTGGACTCCACAAGAGTTGGTGGTTGGAGTGTACCTGGTCACCTCGGTGGCCCCAGGACCCCACCCAGGGTCGGGAAATCAGGACATCAATCATGGGTCTGAGTTCCCAGTGCAGGGTCTTGGGATAGACAGAGAAGAGACAGAGGGCAAGACAGATGCTATCTTGTATTCCCTGAGCTCTGAACCTAATACGAAGCAAAAGCAGGACACAACCCCAAGATCTGTGAGAGCAGAGCAGAGGAATTTGACATGCTCTGGGTCAGAGAAGGCCTCCCTGAAGGATGGTAGGAGTAGCAAGGGGTGAGGAGTACCCAGTAGGTGTTCAAAAGATACTCAAATGAATAAAACGAATACTTAAACACTGATTTCTGTGGTTGGAAAGAACTAGGGGTGGGATTTTCTTATAAGCTTTTTTTTTTTTTTTTTTTTTTTGCAGTGCTGGGGATGGAACTCAAGGCCTCATACATACTAGGCAAGTGCCCTACCATTGAGCTACATCCCCAGCCTCATTATAAGCTTTTACTAATGGAAATGAAACGTTATAGCTCTCCTAGAACATTTATGCAAAAGTGTCAATTTATGCAAAATTGACATTTCTAAAACTTAAGAAAACAGTACTTCCTAATATTGTTCTCTACGCATGTTTAGGGATGGGCTCCAGGAAGGAGGAAGGGATAAGGAGGTTGCCAAAATGTTTGGCAACGGAAGGGAAAGCTGCGACTGTAGCGCATGCACTGACCCAGCTTGGGGCTCACCTGGCAACTCGCTGGCCTTGCCCTTATCCACTAGCTCCAGTGCCTCCAGATTGGTCTTGGTAGCTACTCTTGTGGCTTCCATCTGCTGCAGCATGGCTTCCACAATGGGTACCATCATGGCCGTGGTGGCTGTATTGCTGATCCACATGGACAGGAAGGCAGTGACGCTCATAAAGCCCAGCATCAGCCTGCAGAGACGGGGCACGAGAGGAAAGCCAGAGAATCCCCCACTCCCCAACCCCTTCATCCCCAGGAGCAACCAGAGGCTAGGTCCAACCCTGCAGGCCAATTCAAGACTGGATATTCCAATAGAGGATTACAGTTTGGGTGCTTCTCTCTTTTCCTCCTTCCCTTCTTTCCTCCCTATCCTCTTTCCTCCCTTCCTGCTACTCCTTTCTCTCCAACATTACACCTACTCTGCAGGCTAATAGAACAGCAAGAGACTCCAGAGGCAGCTGTGGCTAGGGGGAAAGGCATAAACACTCAGAGGGTGTCAATTCAGTATGGAGTATGACCCTAGGGGTGTGCTGGAGCACCCCTGTGTGCAGGCATGGGTATCGAAAAGAGCTACATTTCAGCCTCAGCTCTCCTCTCTTAAGTTCAGAAGAGATATGCAGAATCTGCCTGGAGAGGTAGGGATATCTGGGAGGGAGCTAAGGGAACTGTGACCTTCCTGATGGCTGGCCCTCTTCGGGCCAGCTCCCTGTACCTGCACACTTTGCTCGGCTCACTCTGTAGTAAACCAGATTAAACTAACAGTGTTTAGAAAATATGTTCCCTTTGCTTATAAACCCTCATCATTCTCACTGCTGCTTCCTCTCTTCCTTTCACCCCACTGTCCACCTGGAGAGCTCCTATTGGTTCCCCCCAAGTGGACTCAGACAACAACCCTCCTCTGTGGCCACCTCCAAGTGCATGCCAAGCAGGGCTGTCACACCCTTCTCCATCCTCCCTCTACACTCATTACCTAGTGGCACTTGGAGGACCAGTTTCCATGTGAGCTCTCTCCTTAGGCTATAGTGGGGATAGGGCCTGACTCTCCTCTATGGCTCTACATACCCCAGCTGCACCATGCCAGGAACAGAAGGCTCTCGGGGAGGCTGGCTGAATGGAACTCAACTGCTCTAGGTCTCCAAAGCCCTCTGCCATCAGACTCCTCCTTGGGGATACTAATGTGCCTGAGGGCTGGACCATGAAGAAGGGACCTGGGGACTGAGCTACACTAAGGCTCAATTTGATGTCCATACAGGTTGACCTCATGGACCTGTAAAGTCAAAGACTGGAATCCAGGCCTGGAGGAGATGATAGTCTGGTGAGTGCAGGCGGTCTCAGAAGGACCATGGCTTCTATACAAAGCTTCAAGGCACCAAGAAGACCTCTGCATACAGGTCCACCCCAGGACGGCTGGAAGCCAGGCCCCGAGGAGGATCCAAGTGGCAGGAAGGAGCAGAGAAGACAAAGCTTCCTGCAAAGGCTGCTATGGTGGCTTCCCACCTGCTGAGGGCCCAAAGCTAGCCACTTAAAGTTTCCAAGAGAAGAATGCTGAGGGGACCAAGATCCACTTTCCTGAGCACTTGTGTTTCTAAAAAATACAGTGATTTGTGATCTGACCCTATAAACCCATCACCAGAGAAGATCTATGCCACAAAGAAGTCAGCGACTCACAGAGTTCTCTGCTCAGGTGAGTCAGTGGCAGGCACCAAGGGAGACCCAGGCATGGTCACCTGAAAAGCCAGCTAGGATCTGTGTGTGCTCATGGCCCAGCAAAGTCCCTGAGACATGGACATCTCAGGAGGTATTTACTGTGAATTAACCCACAGCTGCCTCCCAAGGGCTGGGTGGAGAATGCACCATTAATTACAGAGCACATTGTTTCAAAAGATGCGCCCTGAGTTCTCCATTTGAGGGTCACAGTATTTATCAGACATACTGAGTCCAACCCCCATGTGACTGTCAGCAAGTCATTTCTCCACTTTTTGCCTCAGATTCCTCATAATCCCCAACACTCAGAGTTGTAATAAGAGTTAAATAAGGTGATAAATAAGTTCCCAGTGTCATGCCTGGCCTTGGAGACATCCACCGTGCCATTATGATTGTAATTAGAATACACTGGCCCCATGGGATGGCTAGAATAGCTTGTGTGTTGATTGGAAGGGGGATCTTGGGAGGTACAGAGCGATGTGGGGGAAAGTGAGGTAAGGAGCTACCCATTCAGGTAGACGGCCAAGCTTTGAAGGAAAGACCTTTCTGCTTCCCTCTGAGCTGAGTAGTGGAACCATCTCAGGTCTGCTTTCCAACCTCCATCCAACTTGGTCCCTGTGGAACCCCATAGCCACTTCCCTTGGGAAACCTCTGGAACCTACAAAGGCTCTTGCTAGCCAGTCTGCCCTTGGAGGCAGCGAACCTTGGCCTACTGCTGTTCACCATCTGCAACCACCCCTCAGGCATCTGTCTCCCAGCTAAGATTGGAAGGTGCCCCACCCAGAGGCCACCCTGCCATGTCCCGAGAAGCAGTGGCCAGCCCTCCTGCACTGACTGGGGGTGATCTGGTCTGTGCCACACTCCACTCCCCAGCCCTGGCCCACACAGAGCCACATGGCCATAGAGAGAGAGAAGACTTAATTACCGTGCAGGCTTGGCCCCTATCCAGAGTAGGGTGCGCAGGGCGATCCTCTTGTGTAGATTCCAGCGCTCTACGGCCACAGCCACTATGAGGCTTCCCAGAAACAGCATGTTGGTATCCTTCATGTACTGGACACACACCTAGAGGGCAGCATGGAAGGCCCAGGAGGATTGTTCCACATACTGCTTGGGCCCAGGGTTACCTGTCACCAGGGACAGGCAAGCAGGCCAGATGCTGACTTCAGGAGCATCTTGGGGTGGTATGTTTTCACACCAGGGAGAATCCACCAGTGGGGTTTATCTGGCCACCCCCACCCCCAGGCCCCCCAGAGAGGGGCTTGGAGAAGGAAGGGGTCCATGAGAGAACTGGGAAGTCACCAGGACCCTCTGAGTCAGCTCACCTGCTTAGAGTCCAATATCTGCAAGAGCGGAAAGAGCAAGACAGGCAAGAGGGAGGTGACAGCCACCGGGATGACATCCGTGCACCAGTAAATGGCCATGAGGATGATGACGTAGGCACACCTGACAAACTGAAGAGACCACCCTGAGACCCCACAAGCCTCACCACCCCCACTGCCCCATTCCACCACAGTGGAAGGGAGCCGGCGGGGACTCCGCTAGAGGGATCCTGTGCCCTGCCTCTGCCAGCACAGCTCTCCAGGCTCAGGACGGTGAGGAGGGCAACAGATCTATCATCAGAAGACTCCAGCCCCACCCCTAACCACCCTGTGCCTTCCCCTTCCCAGCTGCATGGTCTCAGGCAAGTTCTTTCATCTTTTCAAACCTTGGACTGGTCACCATCTCTCCCATTACAAAGGTGTCTCGTTTTATATTTAATTTAACAGATAGTCAAGTCACATTCGTTAGCCACTGAGCCACCAGACTCTTAGCTCTGCAGTGAGGCAGAACTGGGTTCCAATGCAAGCACCTGCCATCCTGGCCCTCATTCGCTGTAGGACTTGGAGTAAGTCATTAAACCACCTTGGCCCTTGGTTTCGTCACCTATTAAAATGTGGACAATAATTCCTACATCCCTAGCTGTTTTATGTTTCACTAGCCCTCTCCCTCATTCTAGCCCCCTCCACAAAACCAGTCACCAAGGCTTCTATCCCTTATTCGCAGGCCTCATCCCCTTTTCTACCTTTATCCTGTTATTTAAAAATTATAGACCATTGTTTTAGACCAGCCTCCTGCACCAGGTCTCAAGAGACCAGTCAAAAATCAGACTGGAGTCACTCGTGCTGCGGTTTCATGTCATTAAACCCAAACCAAGTTCTTATCTGATCTTCTGAGAAATCAGGAGAGATAAGAGCCAAGTTTCCCAAACAGGCCAAGTTCAATCTGAATAATAATGAAGTTCCCTCTCCTTTAGTCCTTACAAAATAGTCACCTGAAATTTACCCATCAGTTATTTTTCTACTGTTCTGACTCCCTGTCCCCACCTTCAAAGAAAGCATCTTTAAAATGACCAATCTATCTTTGTTCTTTGTTTCTGCTTTGTGCTCTTCCTCGAAGCACCACCCCACACACTAGATTTGCATCGTTCTCTTCACCTTCTCCCCGCCTCCACCCAGCACCACCATCCAATCGTGCCATTTGAGGAAACATGCAATATTTGTAGATTCAGTCTGTCCTCAGCATCCTGCGTAGTCTCAGCACTTGGTAGATGCTGAGCAGGTGCTCAGAGAAGGAACCAAATAGCATCAGCTGAGAGGAGAAATAAATCTTTCTTCAGCATTCCACAAGCAACTCAGGATACCTTCCTACTGCTCCAAGCAGGAAAGTTTAGGGTTTCTAAACCCTGGCACATTGACTTTTCAAGTCTGATGATTCTTTGTTGCTAAGACTGTCCCATGAGGTTTAATAGCATCCTTGTTTCTCACCCAAGAGACTCAGGGTGACAACTTCAAAAAGGCCACTCCATCATTTGCCCCCTGCTGTGAGAAGGTCAGATGATTGAGGAAGTCCAGAGACTGTCACCCCCAAAATATGGTGCCCTGGCATGCTGATTATTTTAAATTTAAGAAACTCAGAGCAGCAGATGCAAGAAGGGATGCTACTCTGACATCTCCATGTCTACTTAAAGTCCCATCCCACCAAGGAAGAAACAACCACCTCTGGTCCCTTCCCTGAGTTTTCATTAACTGAACCCATGTTGCAGAAGAAAGGCAGATGGACAGACATTTATCACACAGCATTGTCCCTTATTTTGGTTCCATTCAATATTCCAAAGAGAATCACTTACATTGTATGCTCTATGGGCCCAATGAACTTTATCTCAGGACATTGTACATTTCCCCAAGCTCCCTGAATTCCCCTAAAAATCATTTACTATTTCCCTAAAAACTGTCTACATTCTCTATTGTACCCTTCCCCTATGAAAGAGGGTATATAAGCTTCAAAACTGTGTTGGGCTAATAGGGAATCACACTTTGTGATTGCCTCCATGCACCTAATGAATTTGTATATCTTTTCTCCTATTTAATCTGTCTATTGTCAGTTCATGGCAGTGAACCTTCAGAGCCCAAAGGGAAGCCTTTCCTTTCACCCCAACAAAATCAATGGGGTTGATAGCCACTGGACTTAAGTCAGAATAGCAGTGTGGTTAGAAGCCAGGCTTTGCCACCAGCCAGCCTGATCAATGTCCACTGTCCTCTGCTGTCTGACCTTCAGTAGTCACTTAAGTTCTCTGAGCCTTGGGGTCAGGGGTATGCCATGTATAGAGGGAGTGGTTCCCTCCAGGTGTGGGCAAGAGGGAGCATTGTAGAGAATTTTAAAACAATACTAATAAAAATCAGGCTGCTTTTATGATCATCACGTGATAGCAATTCTAAACAATGTCATTGATAAATTACATCTTTTGCTCCCAGTCTAGGCCCCTCTCCAGGATCATTTCATGTCCTCATCTATAAGTTGGGGATTTAAGAGGGCCTATTCTTTTTTTCTTTTCTTTTCTTTCTTTCTTTTTTTTTTTAGAGAAAGAGAGAGAGAGAGAGAATTTTTAATATTTATCTTTTCAGTTTTCGATGGACACAACATCTTTATTTTATTTTATGTGGTGCTGAGGATCGAACCTAGTGCCCCACGCATGCCAGGCAAGTGCATTACCGCTTGAGCCACATCCCCAGCCCAAGGGCCTATTCTTAATGAGTGGCACTCAGAAAGACCTTGTAATTTTTTAGTATCTAAACTTAGAAACAGTGGATGACACCTGTAACCAATTTTCATTGTAGACTCCTGGAGAAACCAAAGATAAACATTAGAAAAGAGGATGGGACACAAGGAAAATTGTTTCTTCACCTCAATTACACTATTAGAAAGTCTAGGAAGTGCCTCAGGTCTGACTAATAATACCAGACAACAAACTTGACCCTCCCTATTTCCAGAAAGCTCCCATGACATAAATGGAAAGGGCAAGCTAGGAAGAGAGTAGTAACCCTAAAGAATGAGGTAGATTCTACCTTCAGAGAGGATCCTGGCTTTTGCTGTATAACTTCTGAACACTTTCCTGCAACTGAGAAGGGGTTGGAAAAATGACTAAAGGAGACATAATCCATGGGATTTAAAAGTCAGTACTCAGCACTGTGCCTAGCACATAGAGGGGCTCAGTAAATACATGTGCACAACTGAGTGCGCATGTGAATAAATGCACAATTGAATAAAAACAGGAGTCATTGTTGATATGATGACAATCACATATTGCCTAGCAATGGGGGCACATTCTAAGAAATGTGTCCTCAGGCAATCTCCTCATGGTGTAAACATCTCAGTGTGCATTTACAAAAACTAGAATGAACACCATGTCCCTAGGTGATACAATCTTATGGGGTCACTGTCATATATGTGGTCCAGTATTGTTCAAAACATTGCCATGTGACACATGACTGTATCCACCAGCAAGAGTGTCCTCAATGTGTTGTATTAAATATATATATATAGGCAAAACAGTCTCTCTCTCTCTCTCTCTCTCTCTCTCTCTCTCTCTCTGTCAGTGTGTGTGTGTGTGTGTGTGTATCTAATGAGACAAGATTAATGATTGGTTTCTAGAAAGATTTCTATCAAAATATTAATTGGTCATGGGATTTGAGGGCATTTTCATTGTTACTTTATACTTTACAAACTTGTAAAAAAGAATTGTTTACGATTTTAATAAAATAAACGATATAATAAGTTTATCACTTATTTTATAAAAATGATTTTTTTAAAGGGACCAAGAGAAAGAGTTAAAAAAAAAAAAAGCAGAACAAAGATGAGGCCAGGAAGCAAACAAGGTAGATGAAAGGAAAGAAAGAAGAAAGCCTGGAGGAGAGGAGCTGGGCAACAGCAGAGGGCGGTGTGACCTGGGAGTTGCCACTGGATGAGGACAGCGCTGCCCTGGCTGCCAAGCTCCTTCTGTGCCTTGGACCTCTGGATTTCCTTGCACAAAGTGGGAGGTGAGAGGACATGGAGGGTGAGGGAGGGTGAGGGCAGGGAACTCTCAAAACAGATGCACACAAAGGGAGAAAACGAGAAACCAGGGACCCAGGCTTCCAAGCCCCTAGCCCAGCATGGGCTGCAGGGAGCCATGGGAAGGTAGCCTTGGAAGAACTATCACTGGTGTCTCCTCCTCTCTTAAGCACTCACTTCCCTTAAGCCTCACTGCCATGGTGGTTAATTGACACATGCACATACATCTGAGTACGGATCTCAGTTCAGGACCCACCTGTGTGTGTGTGTGTGTGTGTGTGTGTGAGTGTGCCAGGGTGCAAGTGGGATCTCAGTCACACTGCCCTGGAGCAGGAAGGTCAATCAAGCAACTATAATTATTCCTGCCAGCAGAACTAAAATCACAGCACTCCTGCCTGGCTCCCTCCCATGGGCAGTAACAGCCCCAAATCTCTTCAACGAGGAGCTATGGCTGCTCACTGATGGTGTACAGAGCTGTCAGAGTTCAATCTACTGTCTTTGGCCCAACCAGAGGCTCTGCTCCACTATACCAAGGGCTCCTCCCAGTCTTTCTTCCTACATCCCAGGAACTAACAATCTCTTTTGACAACCAAAACAAGTGTCAGAATCAAACCACCCCATTATAGAGACGAGTGCGCCAAGACCCAAAGAACACAGGGACTTGGCTAAAGTCGTGAGGTTAAGGGAATGGTGGAAGTCCAGTTCTTTTGCAGGTTGGCTTCCTGATACCCCAATGCGCCCCTTTCCTCCAGGATCCCTGCTGGATCATCCCTTGAGGAGTTCTGTTTCTCAAACCTGCCTGGGGAGGGGACACAGGAACTGGAGGTTTCCTGTCAGGGCTCAGAGTGAAAGGATTGAAAAAAGGAAGGAGGAAGGAGCAGCCAGCAGCCACAAAAGGCTTCAAAGTGCTCGGGCCTCTGCCAAACTGGCTGTGCACAGCACAACTGAGTCTGGGCCAGGCTGAGCAGGCCACCCTGCCCCCACCCCGCCACCAAGGCCATTCATTCATTCTCTCCCTCCTTCCCAGAAGCACTAGGAGGCCAAGGCAGCTTCCCTGCTACCCAGGACCATGCCACCCAAGGCGTGAGCTCTGGGAACATGTCCCACCTCCTGCCACAGCCACAGCAGGCAGCAGGCAAAGAGACCAACTCTGACCTGCTTTTCATCCTGGAGCAGGACTTTTGAATCAGATGTGGCTTTGCTGGTTTCAGAGAGGGAAAGAAATGTGGGTCGCAGATGGGAAAACTGAGGTCCCAAAAGGGGACAGAGAGTGGCAAAGGCAGATCTCAGGAATCACTTAAGTGATGGTCTTTTTGTGTGGGTCCCCACTGAGGTCAGAAGACACTTGCAGCTGGGAAGTGTCCATTCACCGAGGGAAAAGAGAGAAAAGACAGAGGGAGGGAGAGGCGAGGCACTCAGAGTCCCTGCTAACATGAATGACATCTTGGGGAGAGATGGGGACAGCGGTTATGCACTCTGGGGGAGAGTATGAGCCAAAGGCTAAGCCTCTGACTGGAGTCTGTGTGGCTAAGATCTGTGCTCACGTCTAGATCTTTGTGCTTGCCCGGACGGTTCTGGTGCCCTGGGATCTGGTCTCTGCACCCCTCGGGATTCTTTGCAGGTCACCTCCCATGTGGCACCTGGAGCTCGCCTCAGGGGAGCTGTCCCGGGGGGGAGTCGGTGCGTTGCAGCTCAGTGCTCCCGGAATTCCGTGCCCGTTATAGGGCACTGAGCGCCGGGTTCCTCCGGGCTGACGAGAGACGCAACTGACCTTGGCGGGCATCAGAATGATGAGTGGCAGCAGCAGGATGGGGGTGAAGAACAAGATCACGAAGGACTTGATTTTGGAGACATAGCTCAGCGCCGAGGCCATCGCGCGGGAGATTGGCAGGAGACACGAATGAGAGACAGCCAGAGGCTCCGAGCTTAAGAAGGGGCCGCAGTTCCACGAGATGGGGGGCGGCGACAACTCCGCCCCCTACGGCTGGCCTCCCGACGGCTACGGGGCGGGGCCATCCCTTGGGGTCCGTGGGGCTAGCCTGCCCCCAACTCTGCCACCCCGCGGTGGCGGGAGGCTTCTGCGGATTCCAGCACTTCGAACTCTAGGGGCGGCCTGGACCCCGGCACCTCACAACTTTCCTGCGCTGCCCTGCGCAGAGGCGCGCACCCGGGGCGCTAAGCGGGCTGTAGGGATCATGCATTCTACCAGCTTTGGGGTGCAGACGCCTCCTTCATCCACGCCTGCTTTTTTCCTGGGCTCTGGCGGGGACGCGGGGGGGGGTGCTCCTAGATGAAAGTCTCCACCGGCTTCCGATTTTCTCAGTTATATGTACCAAATCTCTCTCCTTTTCCACGCTGATCCTGGAGAGGTCTCTTGAAGGGGCGGTGACAGCGCACCTTGCCCTCCGCATCGCTGCCCCCACTCCCCCCAGGATCCTCTGGTTCCCCTCGGCGTTGGCTCTACTCCAGACTCAAGACCCCATCTCCAGTCCCTGCGCTCACCCAGGGCATCCTGAGCGCTCTCCGGGGAATGCCAAGGGGGGCGAGATGACTGTCTCCAGCAGTGTGGACGGCTTTCGCCCTCCAGCGGACATGCGCGCAGCCAGCGGACTCCCCTCTTGGCAAAGTGTGTGCAGCCTGGAGCTGCGGCATTGAATCCCAGGAGACGCTGCTGCCGGCGCAAACCGGGTCGCTATTTCCATTTTACCGAGGGATGTAGGGATCTAGAGAGGAAGGGTCACAATCAAGGCTATGCCGAGTCGTTCGTTCATTCGTTCGGCTGCCAACATTCAGCCAATGAAGCTGGACTGAGCACCTATTCTGTGAAGGAGACTTAAGGACGCAAAGACACAGCCACCTCTATTTCATCTTTGTGTCTCTTCTACCTTCTCATTCTGGAGCTTCCTTTTGAGGACTACACATGGTATAACCAAAGCCGGCTCCTTAGTGATTACGTGCCACATGCCTGAGGCTCAGATTTCCATATAGTTGGCCCTCAGTGCCCATCAAAATCTTAGGTTGTCGCTGACGTGTGTTTTATAATTAGACTTAGGATGGTTGTGTCTGTACTGAACACGTACAGATTTTTTTCCTTGTTATCCTTTAAACCATACAGTATAACCACCGCTATTTACATAGCTGTTACATAACATTTACATTGTATTAGGTATTATAAGAAATGTAGAATTTAAGTGAAATTAAGTATAAAGTGAATTAAAGTATAGGGAGGATGTGTATAGACTATATGCAAATACTATGCATTACTTAAGGGATTTGTGCATCCACAAATTTTGGTATTCTTGAGGGTTCTGGAACCAGTCTCCCCAACCACCACAGGAGCAGACCACTGTTTGCAATTTTTCACAGCGTATGTATGTTCCAGACTCTAAAACTCAACACATTTTGAATCAAGTTCATGACTCTTTCCCTGTGACCTGTACCCAAGAATACACATTCCCCCAAGCTCCTCCTTTTGTAATTCACGTTTGTATAACCCCGGGTTCCCCCTCCCTCTTTCCCCAGGGGACACTTAGCACAAGTTGTACCTTTGTGTTTATGGGCGTGATTTTTATTTAATGTCAGATTTATTTCATCAGCCTGTCCAGCCAGCGTCTATTACTGTGCCTGATCCAGGGTGTACATTCAAAATTTGTTCTCTGTGATGTACAAATGTGCACAAATGAACCACTTTGGTACATAATACAACTGCTTTAAAGGGGGTATAACATAGAGCAAGTATTCTCGAGATTGACTGCCTGGATCCACACCCTAGCCCTATCTCTTCCTGGCTATGTGCCTGGGACAGGTGGCCCTCTCTGACCTCATTTTCTCATAAATGGAAAGAATAGCACCAACTTTGATTTCAAATGGTTATTTTGAAGACTGATTAATGTTCAGAAAGTGCTTAACATAGTACTTTGGTATATAGTCATTAATCAGTAAGTATTTGCTCTTGTAATTATACGCAACATATTCTGGGTGGCAGGGACCTTGAAAGAAAGATCCTCCAAGTCTGCCTAAAGTACTAGAGGAAGGCTTCAAGGAAGAGTTGGCATTTGAGCTGAGACTTCAAGGCTAAGTAATGATTTACCAGGGAACAGTGAAGACCAGTCAAAATCACCACTAAATTAAAAAGACAGTATTAAGATAATTGAGAAAAATCCTAAATTAGTTCAGGGATGCTGGAAACTTAAGTACTACAACAAAAAGCTGAATAAATGTAGAGGTTATACCAAGTTCATGGATATAAAGACCAAACATTATAAAAATATTCATTCCTCTAAAATGAGTCTATAATTGCAACTCAATTTCAACCCAAACCACAACAGGATTATTTGAAGTCTAAAATTCAAGCAGAATAGCAAGTAGCCAAGAACAGTCAAGACACTTCTGGAGAAAAGGAAGGGGAGGAAATGCTATCAGACTTCACAGAATGATAAAATTATAATAATTGATGTAATCATTAACTATTGGGATGAGGATAGATTAAAAATAGATTATGATAGAACCTAGAAACAGACTTATACTTATTTGGAAACAATAATACAGCCAAGTACACAAACTCTCCAATAACAACTTTCAGCTGCTGAGTCAATTAGTTTTTAGCAATGTAGACATTTTACTTTTATTAAATATGTTTAATACATACAGGGAAAATTTGGTCATGGTGGGTTTTTTTGTTTGTTTGTTTTGTTTTGTTTTGACAGTGCTAGGGATTAAACTCGGGTACACTCAACTACATCCCCAGCACTTTTTTTTATTTAGACAGGGTCTCACTAAGTTGCCCGCGCTGGCCTTGAACTTGCTATTCTCCTGCCTCAGCCTCCCAAGTTGCTGGGGCTCAGATTCCCATATAGTTGGCCCTCAGTGCCCATCAAAATCTTAGGTTGTCACTGATGTTTCTTTTGTAATTAGACTTAGGATGGTTGTGTCTGTGTGCCACCACACCCAGCTGATGATGATTTATTGTTAATTAATAAGGTTATTTCTGATTTTTGCATTGAGGCTTATTTAATTATTGTTCAAAACTGAATGTGGTTGATCAGTTTATGTATGCACTTTTACTTACCAAGTTCATACTCTGCTTTTGGTCCTACACCTTCTTCACAAATAACTTAAAATTTTAATCGCATATTACATTGCATTATAACAAATGAAATAATTAAGAATATGTTAATTTATATCTTGTATTAATAATTTACCATTAAATGAATTTATTATACCTTTATAATTTTATCTTGTTGTAGTATAGCCATTTTAGCAATCTGTATTTTATTTCTCAATTGTCTTTTTAATATTCCTTAAAATTTGAATCCAAACATTATGGTATATTTTTGAACTCAGTAATCAATTATTCCCTATTGAAAATATGTTATTTATGTACATGAAATTATTTGGAGATATTTAGTTACAATGGCATATAGTAAATAATGTGTTATGCAACTTTTACCCTCACCTGAATCAATATCATTTTAATCTTAAAACTGAGTTAGTAAGAGTCTACTTTTTCAGGGACGGGTTGTGGTTCAGTGGTAGAGCATTTGCCTAGCATGTGTGAGGCACTGGGTTTGATCCCCCATATGACATAAAAATAACTAATAAAATAAAGGTATTGTGTCCATCTATAACTAAAAAAATATTTTTTTAAAAAGTCTACTTTTCAATACAAGAGTTTTAAAGGGTGGTGTGTTTCATCAATTTAATTTCAGTTTCAATTTGCAATTGTTACCTTCTGGTCAGAGTTAATTGGCATCACATGCAATAAACTTGAAAATGCACCAGTCTAAGGTTGAATTTCTAATACATAGAAATGAGGATGTTGACGAAAACCAAGATGAGAATTTATTCATTTAATTCTCTTGATTATGATAAGGTGGCAGATGTGATTTCTCAAAAAGCAAACTTCATATGAGATACAAATATAGTAAAAGTTTTTTGATCTTACAAATTTCTGTCGCAGTCCAGCTGCAGCAAAATAACCGGGGGGTGACAAACAACTTGTGAACGTTGATACAGCAGGAGTAGGAGCCGTTTATTATTGGACAGGAGCAGTATTTATGCATTCCACACAGCTTATCTAATTAGCATAAACTAGATACATCAGTCAACCAATAAGGAATCTCCACACTTAATGGCTCGCTTTTGTTACTTCTCAAACCACTCCCTCTGGCATTTTGCCAGGCACCATCCAGACTTGTTTAGGAACTCTAACATTCCCCTGGCAAAATGCCAGGTGTTATTTTGACTTGTTTACAGACTAACAAATTTCCAAGTACAACAAAATCGAGTTTCAATCAAAACATTGATGCTCTGTGGAATCCTACATGCCATCTCATTAGCAAAATCATTAATATATAAAACTATCTATTGAGAAAAAGCATAATTCACAAAACTGCTTCTAAACTGTACTCACTGATTCTTCAGTGCTATTTTTGTGTTTTCTTTGTTTGTTTGTTTGTTGTTTTTGGTAGTTGAAGATGGACAGTACACCTTTGTTTTATTTGTTTATTTTTATGTGGTGCTGAGGATTGAACCCAGTGCCTCACACATGCAAGGCAAGTGCTCTACCACTGAGTCACAACCCCAGTCTCCCACTGATTCTTTAATAAGAAAAGCTGAGAGTATTAATAGCAGTCTTAAGAAACTTACTATTTTCACATGATCACCAAAGTTTACTCTGGAAAATGCATACAAATTGGCATTGCTCAGTGTAAAGACTGAAAGCCATAGAATAGCCTTAAAATATCCACAGCTCAAGCATTGCTGATAGATAAATAGATGTTGGGTGCCAAGTTTGTTTCTTCCGTTAAGTTTTTGCTTCTTTGTCAGTCCCCATACTCCACATTGATTTAGCTAGGTGAAGACATAGCTCAACAAATTTTGTTAAAAATTATAGTACATATACAC